TCATCGCTTCCCAGACTAGCTCCTATCCATCACTCAACATACTAGGTCCCAGCAGTGATACCCGCCCTGATCGCAACCCCCTTCAGGGCTGTCCCCAGGTCTTCGTCCCCCTGGCGTGCTGTCCTCTGTGCCCCGTTGTCTCGGCACTCCCACCTGGGTCCCGCTGCGCTTCCAGGTGCCACTTGAGCTCTCCCTGCACTCGACCAGCCTGTCGCTCCTCCGTTGTCTGGCAGTGGCCTTTGTCGGGGTGCTCCACTCTCTTTCCCGTCTGATCTGTTTCTCTTCTTTCTGCTCCTTGCTCCCTCCCTGATCTGTTGTTATGAACAGAGGCCTCCTGAGCCACTTGACATGCATGCTGCAAGGCTGACCACCCCTGTTCTAATGATACCTTTACTCTATGGCATTTGCATGTTTTTAAATTTTCCATTTACCCTCATGATAGCCATGAATGTAACTGGTCTTTCTGGTCTTTTGATTCCTGGGTGGAGCAAGAGAAACATCCTCTGTTTAGTTTTGAGAAGGTATAGCATACAGAAGCATTTGCTTTTGATGTGAATGGGGGTTACAGCTATATGGTAGTACAGTTGTCATTGTGATTATACAGGAGTTTGAACTTAATTCTTGACTGTTTGAAATAGTCCTTGACTATTATAGAAGTATAGTATTTTTTTCTATTACAGGTGTGATGTAAAACGTAAGTTCTAAACATTTGTAATTATTAAAGATCTCGTCACACTTTTACAAATGTAATGGCATCAAGCTAATTAAATTAATTGCTTTGACAATTTTTTGTGCAATCCAGATTGGTTTCTGAACTCTAGCAACTCAGAGTGTCAATGGTGCACCATATAAAGAACACTTCTCCAGCAGAAATTCATTAGAGTTGAAGTCTAATAACCATTAATTATGATCTACTTAAAAAGTGAATATGCCCCCTGCAGAGAAACTGAATAGTCTTTTCGGGTCAGCTACTTCTATAATAGTTTCTTGGAAAAAAACAGGCCTGCTGAAAGCCTACAAGAAGCTGCGGTAATTAACTGTGTAACAAGAATTTATTTTAGTTAATTTTCAGAAGTTCTCAATTGTTTATGAGGTAGGTCAGTAGAATTGAGAGATTTGGTATTTTGATCAGTCATGTAAAGAAATAGGGTACATTAAAATCTTGCCTAGAGCCCAGAATACCTATCCTAGTACTTTTTCATGCTAGACTATATTATTCATATTTCACAAACTTTTGTGTAAACTCTGTGGCAGTATCCTAAAGGTATTAACTTTTTAAACTGTAATAAATAACTGTAAAGCAATTGAAAATCCCTAACTTTATACAGTTTCAGTTCATTGCCCCAAAGCAGTCTTAAAATGATGTATTAAATGATGATTAGAAACAATTAATTATCCTACATAACTCTAAGAGCTCAAATGTAATTTCATGGTTATAATTTTCTTGTCAGGTAATAAAACGGGATGAACTTGGCAAGGATCTGTCTGACTGCTCTCTGTTCGATCTGCTGAAATATGATGATTATAACAGTGACAAGCACCTAGCTCTGGAAGAATTCTACAGAGCATTTCGTAAGTACAAGAATTAGTCTATTATTCTCTTAGTTTTCCTTTATGTATTTTGCTCTGTCTTTACATTTTTTTTCCTAATTTGAAATGTCATGGTATGGTACTTTGACAGTGAGCGTAACTTCACTGTTAGGATGTAGTGGAGCGCTTCCTGGTGGACATGAATACAAGATGCATGCGTGCTCAAGTCCTAAGTGTGACATCACTACTCCAGCACTGTAGATGATTTGGCTTATTTGGACATGTATTTATTCATTAGTATGTTCAAGCGAAAGCTACTGTAATCAGGGTGTTACAAGTGAAACTATATTAGCTAAATCTTTACTTCTTTATTGTGATTACTAACAAGTTTGACTGTTTTCACACCCTCTGCTCTGGCTGCATTTGTTCAATGGAGTTTTCTAACGGACTCTGCACAGGACTCATGACAAGATAATATGTTAAAGAAGGCTATTTTCTGACATCTTGGAAAGTTATCACATTTTCAGGATTTGGGTACTGGCGGAAGTGGCAGCAAGGATGATGAGGGATTAGGGTACCCAGTCAAGATTTAATGTCTTGATTACAGAAGCAAACACTCCTCCCCTATGTAGGTACTAGGAAAGGATCAGAGGCTGAGTTTTAGCATATTCTTGTTACACTAAGTAAATAAATAAATAAATAAAGGCAGTGAACTTAAAATGACAAATATGTAATGTAACCAGGATGCAATAAATGTAAAGGTTAGAAACTCAAACTCAAATGTCACTTGTCCTCGCTCTCCTATTTGCTTCTAAAGAGAGATTGTAGTTTGGCTCTTTAAAGGTTGGCTTTATTTATTTTTCTTTTAATGCAAAGTGAAAGCAAGAAAATGAGAGATTCCTTATGGGCCCTCCTGGAGAAACCATCTAGCCACAGCGTACCCAAATCCTGGGCACCAGCAACAGCTGCTTAGAATTTTCCACTCTAGATTACCCATGATTTAACCCATGATTAGCCAGAGAACAGTCTGATGTCTCAGTCTGATCTCTTTTCCCATCTGTCAAAATAGGAACTTGATAGAATGCAATGGATTGTGACTTTTAAAATGTGTTTTCATATGGATATCTGTCTGCTAAGAACATGCCTGAGATCAACAACTTAACATGCTGTAGACCACTAGATTTCTGCAAATCAGTAGTGATGTGGTTAGCTCCCTCTTGCTAAGTAAAAAGTGTAAATAAGTAGGCAAAATGTTGGCCTCAAAAATTACAAGAGTCATGGAGCAAGGATTTCACTCTCTATATTCTCTTGTTTGTCCCCTAGTATTCTGTGTAGCGCACTTGTTGATATAATTATGATCTAGGTACAATATTTTCAAAAAAATAACAGTTTCTAAAAAGTTTTCTCAGGCTACAGAAAGACTACAAGCATCACAAGTACCCACTCATGCCAAGCTACTTAAATATTTTAAGTGGTTTTGTGGTGTGTTACTTGCACTATAAACTCTTAATTGAAAGGTAGTTTGTTTTTTCATGTTTTTATAGTGCTTAGAATATGAGGTCATGATTTAGAGCAATATTCCTCAGGCTACCATGATACAAGTAATAATAAACAATAGCACTCTTTTCTGTTTACCTGTTATAACAAAAGGAGTCTTATGTTAGATAAGGCACCTTTTAAATCTACTCTGGAGGGTGATCATCCTTGTAAGCTCCATTACTGTTTTTGAAGAGTATTTGTGTACATAAAACTTCGAACAATAAAAGCTTCTTTGTATAGATGAGGTCAAATAGGAAGGTAGAATAAGAATTATGATTATATTCATGATTTGTTAATTCATGTATAAAAAAACTCAAATAAGCCATTCTCAAGATGTAGTCAATTCCCTTTACTTATTGCATAATAAAAAGGCCACAGGCCACAGACAGATATTTATTTCTACTGATAAGAATTTTTCTGAATGTCACTCTGCCCTTAGGGGAGTCCATTACCTGATAGTCATTTCCCTTCACTACCTGGAAATGGGACAGCCTGTCAATAGGCAGTCCCCTGCTTTTAAATTGCCTCATGTGGAGATGGTCTGCTATGGGGTAATTAAAAGCTAGAGGCATGGGAAAACAGGCCTGGGGACACAGCTTCTCTGCCCCAGGTTTTGTCTTCCTGGATTTTAAATCATGGCATTTACAACCTACAGGGCCATGAACTGGGGGATTGGGGGTGGTGGGAGAGGAGAGGGAAGAGATGCTATTTAAAGCTCATGCGTGCATCCACGCATGCAGGCATGTACGCTTGCAGCAGCTCAAAGAGGAGCAGCACAAATTTCAGCTGGGGATTTTTGCCTCAGCACATATGCCTGGACATGCACTTTGATGTGGGGCAAGCTGTACCACTTGGGGCAAAATAACCCTGCCCAGCTCCTCTCAGATCTGCAGCCAGGGGGAGCTAGAGCCTGGGGCCAGTACTTGTGCTGGCCCCAGCAATATAAAAACCTACCCTTGCAAGCAGCTCAGGGCTACTTGCCCTCAGGAGCTTTTGAGGCCTGGCCACTTGGTATCTGGGGACACTACCCCTTGTGCCAGGTGACCTGCTGAAGCAGCCCTAACCTGGAGTGGTCCCTTACTCTCTGCAGCAGTTTGGCAGTGGGGGCTGCTGCCTGGCTGTGACTTGCTGCCACCTGCAACATCATCTGCCCCTTAGGATCTGCGGACCCAAGGCTGCACCCCATTTGAGATGCTGCAAGAGGTACATGTGCACTCGTCTGGACATGTCCCATGAAGCTAAGAACTGGGGCAGGATAGCTTTCCCCCAGCCCTGCAGGCTTTGCTAACTCTACATGCATCTCAGTGGCATGGGCAGTGTTTAAAACTCAGGGTCTGGTCCCTTTGCAGACCAGACAGAGAGGGGAGTATACAAATGTTTAGTTCTGAGAGACTTTCTTCCAGTAGGGGCATGTTTCCCTTGGGAAGAACTGAGTTAGGTGCATGGATGCTTGTCATTTCTGCTGGGAGAAGAGTGATTCTCCTGCCTGTGCATAGCCATTGTCTCAAATGCTTGTGTTTGTTCCATATTAACTTCCTGCTTTGCACACCCTTCTGATTATTCAGGCTCCTCTTTGGGTAATTTTTTGGGTGTTTATATTGAACTAAATATCCCCTTTTCCATGTCTTCTGGTGCATCCTGGATATCATATGACCAAAATACCTTCTGGGAAATGTAATTCAAATGCACAGAAAATAACATAGAAGCATAACTTATTTAAACCAAAGCTGTTATGAGTTACTAGACTCCTCTGGTGGACTTGGCTCAATACCAAAACTGAGCTGAAATGAACCATTTTGACTTTGTTCAATATGCTGTGCTAGAAAGAAACAATTGATTTAGGAATGCTGAAATATTTAATTTCAGTCAAAAATGTCAAATAACACATTTTGATACAACTGAATCAATTTTTCAGAATGTTGTATTACATGAAGAAAATAAGTGTTTCTACCTTATATTACATCACAATTTGAAAAAAAAGGAAGAATTTAAAATTTCAATTGATTCTGCTTCAAAAATGGCTAAAACATGTACTAAACAATCAAAATGAGAGCGAGAACTTTGTGGTATGTCATTCCACAATTTTAAGATTATAATGGCTTTGTCAACAAAACATGCTTTTATCTTTTTGTATAATATACTTCTTTCTAAAATAAAGAACTGTAAAGACGACAACTACATATGCAACAATGGCCAGATGCAGAAATTCAGTTTCTACCAAGAGAATCATTGTTCTCCCAGGAGAAACCCAAAATGTACAGACATTTCAGGCTTTTTCTCCCAGGGAGAAAAATAACCCAGGAACAGCAGGATTAAATCACTCCTTGGAGAGCTTCTCCCAGGAGACTGAGGGTACCTGTACATGTGCTGAAAGGCTGCTCCAATGTGCTGTAATTACAGTGCATCAAAGCAGACTTGATTAACTGTATCTGCTAGAGTATGCTAATTAGTGTGCTCCAGCCAGCCTCCACGTCTTGTGTATCGGCATCAAAATGGCAGTGGGGACACTTTAACTAAAGCTCATTCAACATGCTTGAGATAAAGTGCCCCTGCTGCCATTTTGAAGTACAGGGAAGCTGATGCACAAGATGTTGCAGGCACCCTAATTACAGTGGCTCTTAGAGCTGTTCTAAAGCAACTGCCCTGCCCCACCGCACTTGGAGCACGTGTAAAAATGCCCTGCATGTCTGTATACTTCCTTCCATCTTAACTCCTTGTAGAGACCAATGGATCTCGGGGAACAGCCCCCATTTTCCTGAGACTGGGGTCACCTCAGTCTTAAGAAGGTGTGGGGTGGCAGCTGCCCACCCTCTTGTAGATGGTCAGGCAAGGGGAGCAGCAGCCACCACTCCCTGCCTCTTCCCCAAACTGGGCAGTCCCCAGTTTTGGAAAGAGAGAGGCTCCCATGAGCTACCTCTTGGCACACTGTTGCCCAGCTGAGCATCAGGCCAGTGATTTTAAAACCTGGTGGCTAGAAGCAGAGCTTGAGAATCTAAGTTCTAGCCACTAAGTTTTAAATCTCTACCCCACGACTCAGTTGGGCAGTGGGGCAGCAAAGGTGAGCTGATGGAAACTAGGTATAGAAGACTTTCTTAGAGCCCCACTCTTGGCCATCAGCTTTTAAATTTCCAGAGTGGGGAAAGCCTCTGCATGCCCTACTTCTGTTCCCTCTGGCTTTTAAATTGCAATTCCAACCACTAAGACTAGTGGAGTGTCCAAGGCAGGTGGGTGGGGAAAGCAAAGGGAAGCCAGAGGTGCTTGGAGCCTTCCCTATAGGATTGCCCTGGAGTCTCCAGGAATTAGGGATAAATCACCAGGAGACTGCTGAGAGTCACCTGCGAGATAAATGATAGGGCATTCATTAAAATAAATATTAAATGTTGAATCTGATTTATACAGTTGTCCAGTGGTTTTTTAGAATGTAATATTAATGTGCATTTGTCTTTCTGATGTAAAGTCATTAATGCCATTACATCATGTGATGAAACCTCTCAGAATAGATT